CCCGCTCATATGTAGTGTTGATGCATGTGTGTTCTAAAGTGCCTTTAAAACCCAGGAGGGGCTACCTGCCAGAGAGCAGCAGGTAAGCACATAGCCCCTCCTGCTAGCCCTGCATGTCTAGTGTATTTAAAATTGAGAGGTGGGCAACGACGCCAGGGGTGAGGTTGTACACCCTGACGGTCTTTTGGATTCCATGTAGCGTGCCCACCCCCAAGATCCTATATGTATGTGTTATGAGAGTGTGAGTAATGTGAATGTCTAAGTTGTGAGATAAAATTGAGGCACAGGCAGCCAGAAGGGGACAGAGGAGGGGATGCCTCCCCTGCACCCTGGTGACACACCTTTACCCCAAGGCCCTGCATGTGTGGGTGATTGTGGTGGAGCGGGAAGAGGGAGGCAGCTGGAGATGGGGAGGGAAGGAAGGGAGGGGCAAGCCTTATTTTAAGAATGAACATCACAGGAAGCAATTTGCTCATCACACACGACCCTTAATGCTGAAGATCAGTTGCACTCAGACATTCCAGGCTAGTTTCCTAGCTAACCCTGTAATGCACTTACCACCCCGTCATATTTTGATGTCATCAGTAGTCGTTTCAAACATTACCCAATTTGACAAAAACTTTATCTGGGTCTATTTTGCATCATCACCCAAAAGTTGATGAATGTGATTGACATGTTACGGTGTCTGGTTGCACTATTGAAGCAAACTGCGGCTGCTCCACTTCCTGCATCCTTGCAGTTATAGAATCATATTTCACCTGGTAATCATAAAGAAATGACTCATAATACTCAACAATCACGCTTCTTGTAGGATCTCAGTATGAGCAAGTTCAGTGATAATGGCAAAGCAATTATATTCTGTAGCACAACTTGTGATGCTACAAATCTTAACCAATCATGACACAACTAATAGTAAATGAATTTTGTGCTGTCCACGGCTGGTTCAGAGTGTAGGACCCACCCATGAAGGATGGGGTCAGATTGATTTCGTTTTTTTGTGGTCATAGATTATTCGTCTACACAGCTCTCCAAGTATGTTGTCCAGTAACAGTAAGGAATCCCCGCTTCATTTCCCGTTATTTTTCATTCAGGGTCTCGGCAAAGACTTGACCTAATCCTAACATAAAGTCCCTAAAGGTGAAGTCTTGGCAACAAAATAAACACCACATGTCAGCTTATAATGTTTAATTTAGATTGTTTAATGTTAATTCCATGCTGTGTTTCAGTAAGAACAATACAGATTCCCTGTCTGTGGCTCCAGTCAGATATCCAGTAGTACAAATCAGCTCCAAGTTACACATAATGAAGCAACACAAAAAGAAACTGCAAAAGAAAAAACACCCTCTGAATGGCAGAGGAGCATCGATAAAAAGCAGGGGGAAGCAGCAGAAAAGAAAAATAGAATATTAATTATTTTTAACTCATGCAAGTACGGATCTTCTTCATTTAAGGATGGGGCCAAATTAAGTCTACTCTTTTACACAAGTTAGAGAGTTCCCAAGTTTTCTTTTTTCAAACCACCAGCAAGAGATAAACCTTCAGAGAGCCAGAATGTGTGCACAGTTACAGTATTTCAGCACAAAGTACAGTCCAAAGACAACTACATGAACATGACAACAGAATCACTATGGTGTAAAAGTTAAGCACTTCTTTGCCCCACGTGGATATCGCGAATATTGCCAACTTCCTCTCAACTACTAAGTTAACAAAAAGGGCACTTGTACTCTTCCAAACTGCCCCTAAAAACGGTCAAATGATCTGCATGACATTTCATTAAAAACAGATAAAATAGCTCCCACAACTAATAGTCAACATTGTCAGTAATAAAAGTTAATTTCTGTAATTACATTAAGAAAAAAAATTCTCAATACATCCAGCAACTGATAAAAATATTGAGGAAAAAAAAGAAGCAAAAAAACCAACAAAAAAATACAATAATGAAACCAAAAGATAACATTTTCAGAACTGCTTGTACCAGGACAAAAAAAAAAAACAATCCAGGGACCGCTTTCTTTATCTTTGCCTTTCTAACATTGTATTTCCTGCCTCAATTAAGTGGTATTTACTTGAACGATGTCAGGGCTAATATAAAAAATAAAAAAAGAAGAGAAAAATTAACTTGTTAACTCCGTGGCCCTGTTGGGTCTTGGAGCTACAGAGGTGGAAGAAAAGGAAAAAGGACGACAAAGAGGAAAGTGACTTGTAGATGGATGGGTGGGGCGGTTGAGGAGGAGGAAGAGGAGGGGGGAGATGAAGGTGGAGGGAGTGCAGGGGGTGGGGTGAGGGTCTCAAGTTGTTGGCTGTTGGTGGCATAGTCTCACTGGGCCTCGTCCTCAGCGTCTTGCAGTGCCTCTTTGTTCTGTTCTTCACCTGGTGGAGAGAGATTAACTGTTAGCTCCTCTTAAAAACCTCACAAGATATCATCCTTCAGTAGTGCACAAGTGGCAGGCATGTCTGACGTGACAGGTGAAACTGAACACAAACCAAAACCTTGAGGAACTGAGGAGATTATGGTGGTAGCTATTTCGCTTGAGAGTTTGCAGCTTCTCTCTTGAGTATTTGGCTTCCTGTCACTGCAATAACAGAAATGGTGACACTGCCCCTTTATGTGTTCGGTGTAAGTTACCATAGTACCGAAGCGATGTAAAGAGAGTCACCTTCATGACACTGAATCACTAACCTGTTAATGTAACTTTTTCACCCTCCAAATATATGATGATAATGGCAGAGATATTCTGAATAGTCTTTCCTACAACAGGCCCTTGTTCACACTGATATATGAACCAGGCTGGATGAGAATTATTCGAGGACTACAGACAAGACACTCAGATGAACAAGAAGGTCTGCATTTTACAGCAGCATCCAAGTAGTAGTGGTACCAATAATTTCTAATACATGCATGCACAGTGGTATTATGATTACCAGTGCATGGAACAGCAGGTTCGAATCAAGCCAACTGCAATTACTTGGTTGGTTTAATCTGCATATGCAAAACACTCATATCTTCAAATCCCTCATTTCAGCTAAATCTGACCCGTTTATCAGCCAAAGTGTTTTTAGAACTAATTGGTTGCATGCACCCTGTGAATACAATGAAAAACAAAGTGCAGTTAGCCTACCACTGCTACTGCTACAGAAACCGATTTTACCAAAGTGCCTGAAACAAGTTGAACTCCACTGAAATCTGCTTGGAGGACTTAGAGACAAATGATTTCACAAGGACTAAAGACTGACAAAAAACAAACAAACTGGTAAATAAAGAGATAAATATCTAGAATGCAGAACAGTGTATTAGGGCAGGGCAACGTGGCCAGAAATATTTATCACAATATATATTTGAAAATTTGCGATAACGATATAACTGACGATATAATTGACGCCAGACAAAATACTTCATTTTTTCATGTGCATTAAAGCTATAAAAAAAATTAACTGTGCAAAATTCTTTGCTGACAGTTTAACCAGTGGAAATTGGCCAACATATCCTCAGCATAACCATGTATAATATCCACAAAACTTTAAAAGAGGTTATACACACACAATATGGTAATATTATGTTGAAGCACAGTACGTATCACTCCGCGAGGCTCCTGACTACGGTAGCCGTAATGCTGACAATCCATCAAGCGGTGCAGCTTCGTAGCTTACGAAAGTCGTACTAAAGCATTTTTTGACAGATTTCTGCGCGCCGTGTACCACATAAAATCGGTTCGAGGTCAGTAAGCACAACCAGAATTGATACATAAGGCACACGGGATTATAAGGGGCACTGTCGATTTTTCAGAAAATCAAAGGATTGATTTTAAATGTGCCGTATTTTCCGAAAAACACAGTAAAAACGACGGCCCGCTAGCATGTTCTACCAAAAATAGTGCTGTGTTGTGTATCTGACGGACGAAAGCCAAACGAGTTCCACATCACTGAAGTTTCATCATATTTACAAACCAATTCCGGTTAATCTGTTTCATTCAACGATCCGCTTTCGCCCTTCTCATTCTCTGTCGCCACCATGTGCGTATGAAAACAAAGACACTGCGCATGCGCGTTTTACCCATATTCTATCGCAATATTTCATTTTCTTATCATTGCCTAACATTATACCAGTATTACCATGAACAGTATGATATGGCCCAGCGCTACAGTGTATGTAGAACTGTTTCCAGATTAGATTTCCCCCACAAACACTGTTCTCACAGCCAAAGCTGTGTGCCTGACACGACCATATTAGGGATATCCTCTCTCACTGACATCATACAGAGTGTTGAGTAGAAAAAAAAGTGTTTAGATGTGATTACATGCACTGACACTGAGCTGATTCTTTAAATCTTTAGCCATCCACCACTGAAAATATGAAAATATAAAATAAAGAAAAGCATAATGGGTCCACTTTAGGTTCCATCAATATTTATTACTGTACTGTTATGTGTGGGACTTGTTTATAAAGGGGGAAAAGAAACAAAACCCCAAACACTTGAATTTTGCAACTAGCAGAAATCTGTAAAGAAAACCTGCACGCTGGATGCTAATTTTCTACGGTTTCAGGTGTTGGGTGAAATGGTGCATTCATTTCCGTAGTTTAGAAACAGAGCTCAAAGTGTGTGTTTGTGTGCTGGTGGTGGGGTGCAAGTTTTACATAAAACCCAACACCTTCAGCGTTAGCTTAGGTTAACAAGCACCTCTAGACGGTAATGGTTTTGGCAAACACTGCCATTTCCATTAAACTAATAATGACCCTGTTCTTGTTAGAGAACACCAAATACTGCAGCACTACTTTAAACGTGAACGTGAACATACCACTTGAATGGACCTGAATGTCTTTAAATGACTGACTGGCTATACTGGTCCACGGTGTGAAAGCATGCAAATAACACGATGTAAAGCACGCTGCTTGTGCACAGGTACAACGGGGAACTACTCATCACACTATACAAACTACCTTTAGTCAAGTGAGCCAGTTACATGAGACTGTGATGGGAAGACCAAAGATTAGAGCATGTCACCAAAAGTTAATACAAGATCCAAGTGAATGGGTGAGTGAGTGGGCTGAATCATTAAACCATGAGTGAGCTAGTGCAGAGAGGTAAAAACAAGCCACACACAACACACACAGAGCAAATGTGTGGGTGAGCAACACTTACAAAGTACAGTTAACATGGGAAATGAACAGGTTTGTTTCCTTTAGGACTCTACAGCAGAGGGAATGAGAAAAAGACAAGAGAGGTGATGAGTCACTGAAATAATAATAATAAAAAAAAGGTCTTGGTGGATGCTCTGCAGCGTAGCTGATGCATACTGCTGGAATGAAAGGAATAGAAAAAAATGACTCAAAAAGGGCTGAATGATTTATTTTTTGTAAATTTCTTACACCAAACGTTGTTGCTAGTAACAGCTGAACAGCTACAAGAAGATCAGCTATGACAGATTTACTCTGCTGCACTTTATTAATCATTGTGGGACTTGGCGAACCAAGACAAATGCTGGCTGTATCAGCTTCATGTGTCATCTGTATGCAGATGACTGCGCTCTTTACGCCTTACAAGGCAGCACATCCCTCTGTATCATTTCTGAGGTTCTGGTTAGAGACCAAAACAAGCTAGTGTTGTGCCATTACCACAGGTGTTGGTTTCAGGTAACTAGCCACACCTCACTAGTTAGGCAGTAGCTTGCCAAATAGACAGCTGTTGGAATCTCAACCTCCATGTTTGAGCTTATTAACACAGTGTTTTAACTTAGTGAGGCCAGCCAGGTATATTAACAGCCACCCAAGTTGTGGTGACTCACTTTGTCTGCTATTTTTTTTCCCTTTTAAAGCTAAAGAAAACAACACTGTCTAAGACTGATAGTCTTCTCACACTTGCCCTTTTGGCCAGCTGACCAGGTAGCTTGAACCCTCAATATCATTCAGCTGCATCTCCAGCATATCTGTCAGATCTATCTCAGCTGCACTGTCATGGACTGCAGACAACCACTGCTGCAGTCTGGAAAACTACATAAACCAGAACCTGCAGCAGCTGGAGAACCAGTCCGTGTGGCTCCACATATTACATGTGTGAGCTAAACATGTGCAATTTTACAAAACTGGGCTCAGGCACACTACTATATCTGTAGTGATGAAGTTTTCTCTGTGTGGAATTTACTTCACACAAATTCATTCAAATTTTGATTAGACTTTTCTTAAATCACTCAGCACAAGAATCTAATTCTGACACAGGAACACAGGTTAGATGGGATGCCTCCAGTTCAGCGTCACGTGAAGACAACAATTAGCCCCCCCCCTCGCAAAAAACAAAAACTCTCTGTACCTCGACAGGCACACTGTGAGCACCTGACACAGTCCCGACAGCTACTGTTGACTTGTTTTATTTTGAAATTGGCATTTTTGTCAAATTATTAACAAAAGGTGCATTACCACAGAAAAAACCCTCAGACCTATGTACGTGTTGACTGAAGGAACAACTCTCAGGGTGGGAATTTCATTGCTGACTGCTGGAAACTGACCAAGTGAGTTATTGTTTTCTGCAGCATAGTTACACATCCTGCATTTGGGATTGTCGGGCTATGCTGCTAAAGCACAAGGCTTGGTGTGCTAGAGGAACACGTGGTCTTAGAAAAATTCCTAGATATTAGTTCTTGGGAAATCCGAGTTCCCAGAACTTTCCATCGAAAAGCACCTTCAGATTAGAGAAGACCTCTAACTTTGTTTTTCTAGCTGTCTAGTGTTTAAATTCTGCACAAACAGTCTTTGAGCAGGAATACCACTCAACTTTTCAAGTAAACAAAAACAAAACGTAGCAACATGTCTGATTAGTTGTAACTGAATTGAACTGTTAGGCAGTTAGGCAGGCATTTTCTATCAAGCCTTTTTCTATTATTTTTCGCAAGCTGTCAGTGAGACAAAAAAGCCATCAAGATGCTCACAGTACAAAGACACATTATAAGAACAAATGTAAGAAAGTGTTTAGGTGAAGATGAGTGGGTTAGTGTCAGCACCTTGTCCTGGAAAAAGATCTGCATTGAGACACAGGTAGAAATACCATCATAGAAAAACACCTGATGAGATAAACACACTACAGGACTGTTACCTTCTCCCTGCATATCTGAAGTCCATAGTGTCAGGTTGTCACGTAACAACTGCATGATAAGTGTGGAGTCCTTGTAGCTTTCTTCACTCAGTGTGTCCAGTTCTGCGATGGCGTCATCGAACGCAGCCTTTGCCAACCTGAGCAAACAAACGTGTGCTGAAATCACATCATGCTTCAGACAGAAAAATCATGTTTTTACTGATTATTTTTAAGCTGCGTTATGATTCCAGCTGTACGAAATCGTGTATCACTGTGTGTCTGGAACTCAGTATTGGGTAAATGTGAACATAAAGTCAAAGACAATCAAGAATGGCTTATAATCTACAACATTACTGCAAAGTCTAAGTCTAATCCTCAACCTATGGGCATGAGGAGGGCGAAGGTCAACCTCAAACAGGAGTTGAGTCAGGGTTCGTCATACAGTCCACTCAGCAGTGAGGGACAGTCTTGCTGTTATGTAATATACAGATAAAAAACAAAAAAAACAAACAGCTGCCCTGCGTTACAGTGACAGTGCTGCTGCAGTGATGGAGCAGTGACCTGCAAGCGCGGTCAGGTGAGTTGAGAATCTCATAGTAGAAGACGGAGAAGTTGAGGGCGAGCCCGAGGCGGATGGGGTGTGTGGGTGGCAGCTCTGACATGGCTAGGTCAGTAGCAGCTTTGTAGGCCACCAGACTGTTCTCTGCTGCCTCCTTTCTGTCGTTGCCAGTGGCAAACTCTGCCAGGTACCTGTGGTAGTCACCCTTCCTGCAAGTGGAAGGAAACAAAGAAACATTTTACATGTTATTTCCTGTGAAGTGTTCGTGACAACGGTTTCCTGTGTCGATAAATACCCCAGCTCAAAAAGATAGCTGTACTTGATGACCAACCAGAGGAAGTTACTGTATTTATCTGATAATTAACATCAAGGCTCTTACATTTTGTTGTAGAAGACCTTCGACTCTCCTATCTTAGCAGATGGCAGTAGGTGCCTTTCAAGTGCTTCCAGAATTTCATTACAGATGTTCTTCAGCTCCTTCTCCACCTGTTAATAAAAAACACACTGATTCAGTGATCCTCTTCCTCTGACACAATCTCCAAGTATCAATTTGGATTCCTGCTCCTGTGTAATTTCAGAATCCAGTATGAGAAATTCTGCCCGTTTCTGCAAAGGTTCACGTTCAAGATCCATCAAGATCAAAAAAGGATCCAATAACTTGGGACAACAAACACATATCTGTGGTCTCTTTAGGACCTTTATCACTCCCTTTAAACTCCCTGCTAACAACATTTGTAATATCTTTAATATTTGACATTTATTAATCCAATTAGGATGTTGCTCAACGCTTATCAGAAGCTCAAGAGTGTTTCCCCACATGAGCAGGCCACCCAAGCACACTCAAGCATTTTTGACTTTTCTTTTATCCCTTTGAAAAACACGACACCATCAGCAGCCTTTTTTCTTGCACAGACAGCCTCCGTACTCCTATTCTGTTGCTGCTGACCAAACAGACTCACTGTCCATCAATACTACTCAACCGCTTTTCCACTGAGTCTCTTATCCCACCAAATAACTGGCTCCAACTCCACCCCCTGGGACTGCAGGTGGGAACTGGAGTCTACACTTATCTCCTATTTATTTGTAACACAGTAATTAGTTTGTAAAATATTTGCAGAGAACCTTATAACTGGTATTATTTAATAATTCCCACATGTGCATGCACATAGCAGCCCATTCTTCACCACAAACAGAAACTAAATCTGTGGGAAACACTGCCATATTTGTAAACCGACTCCCTTCAACCTTTATTTAAACTCCAACCTAACAACCTCTTTAATGGACCACTTAGAGTAGCTTTAATATTTGATATTTACTAAACAATCAGGATGTTGCTCAAAGCTTATCGAATGGCGTGCCAGTGATAAGAAATGTGTCTGCCAGGGACTGCCAGAGCTACTAACAAAATCAAGGTGTACTCTCCCTGAATCCAATTATGTCATTGACTGCAGTCCAAGTGCCTCTCCCATCTCTGACACTCTCTGGCCTCTCCCATTATAACAGCAGCTCTTATTTCCCTTCATAAAAAGGCAAGAGTGGAGGACTTGCCAACTATGACTCAGATGCAGTCTGTCCAGTAGCTGCTCAGAGTGTGCATCACTAATGTGTGTTTGTGATCTCGCACTAACACAGCCGATCTTTATAATGGGAACACATTCTGGATGCTGAGACATTACAGAACAATCTAAAACAGAAATCTAAGCTTGAGCCTTTCTCGAGTGCTTTACCTTTTGCCTGTATTCCCGGATCATCTTCAGTTTCTCTTCTCCGCCCTTGTTCTCTTCCCTCTGTTCGATACTGCTGATTATCCTCCAGGAGGCTCTCCGAGCTCCGATCACATTCTTGTAGGCCACTGATAGTAGGTTCCTCTCCTCCACTGTGAGCTCCACGTCCATGTCTGCCACCTTCTTCATAGACTCCACCATCTCTGTTAAAAGAAATGCCCAGGATTTGCCAACAGTTTTATTTTTGTCATGTCTCTTGAGAGTATGCCTCATTGGCAACATTGTCAACCTAAGTGGCATAATCTGACGTGCCTCACAAATTCATGGGTTTCGGGCTGATAATCATAATAAATGAAACAGTCGGACGCCTGGCAAACCGTGCCCAGAGATGACATGCAAGAAAGGGCATTGATGTGAGGTGACAGACAGTGTTAAAGAGTAAATGCTGAGGCAGGTTCTTCTATCTCTGGCACCAATCCAACAAACACACACACACAGACATAAACTGGTTACTTGCTTAAGCGATAAGCAATGCACTTCTCAGTTTAAGCTGTGTGCCATCATTTACCGCTGGGGAGGGGTTTAACCCTTTGAAAGTAGGTTAAACGGATAGTACGGATGGAAAAGTGGCTGATGTAATTTAGCAAACATCTGACTCCCCGCCCCTCCTCGCCTCACCTTAAAATATGAAACCTTCAAAGAAAAAAGAAAAGAAAAAAGAAACCTTTACCTGACATGTTAAAATTTCATTAAGCTGAAGAGTGATCGAATAGATTTGCATTAGCCAGTAAACCATAAATCTCTCTGCAAATACACTCGGTTCAAATCCCGTGAATGAGTCATGGTACATTCACTTAACGTTACTGAGCAACGTGTGACCGGGTGGCAAAGGCAGTCGTCTAAAAACAGCCTGCACACGGCCTGTAATGGTATGACAGTGTTATAGGAGTGCACCGGGGAGAGGAAGAGGGGGTCGTTTCTGCCAATCGATCTGTCCAGCTTGCTTGCATGGGAACACCCCACGAAGTGAACATCTGACCTCCCACTCCCTGCTAATACACATTGGTTTCAAGGTGCTAATCCTCCTAGTATCTGCAACAGAATGGCGTAAAAGTTGCCAGGTCAATAAACGGAGTCAGTTATAAGCAACGAGTGCTGCTTATACCGAAAAGAAGCACTGGCTCATGTGTAAAGTTACACAGCTAGCTGGTGCAGGGGAGGCAACTCCTGACAGCTCACGCTCCACTAATCCGCCATTTTGTTGTAGCCCCTTCGCTAATGCTAGCCAATGTCTGTGACATCCGCTCACTTTCCTCAGAACAAACAGGTTTCGTGCTCACGAACTGTTTTAATGTCGCAATACTGTCACCGGACAAAAAGCCATATGTCTTGGCCAATAAACAGTTGGAAATCTGCGATGGTAGCCGCATTAGCCATGTAGCCTGCCGCGGCTAGCGTTGAGCTACACAGCAAAGCGGTGCTCGGTTAAGGTTAGCTAGCACAGTAAAAAAAAAAAAAAATCCCATCGGCGAACATGTCCCACTCCAAGCCGGCCCAGAGATGGTGCCTTACCGTCATATCGCTCTGCCTGCTCGGCGAGTTTCGCCTGATAAACTAGATCCTCTCGCTCTCCCATTGTGTATCAAGATACAGGTAGCGTAGCAAAAGGGCTAATCAAAGTGACAGATCGTTAGTGCAAAACACAGTGGTGATGTGCCAGCCCTGTCTGTGGCTCCTTCAAACCAACTGGGTCGATGAGTGCTGTTCCGCCCCACCGGCAGCGCTGGGATGGAGTAAAGATGGCGACCAGCTTCATCCGGGTACTGCGCATACGCACAAGACTCACCGACTCCGATGCTTCCTCCTCTATTGTTTTTTTTTTCTTTTTTTTGAAGAGAAAAGCAAGAAAAGCAAGAGTAATAACGATAAATGCAGGCGTTGAATCACATCTACGGTATAGTGTGTTAACACCACCAGCTTCTGTTCCTGGTCTATGATATTTATAGCGGTGCAATTCTGTATTTTTTGAACTACATAAATAATACAAAACGTAGCTTGTACTCCAAAATACAGGACAGCATCATTACACTGTGGAGCTCAAAGTGTGCCACAGAAAATTCTCAACGTAACAGACAATATGTTTCTCCTTTATTTTACCTCAACATTTTCACAGATATTAACACACTTTAACATTTCAAGTAAGGTTTGAGAAGGGATAATAATAGCAGTGCTCATTAGAGCAGACCAATCCCAAAATATTAACAGTATCGATACCAACACTGGTATTACTATCCGATCAATACCAGCGTGACAAGAGCAATATTCTGTTTGCGTTTTCTAAGTCTTCTAGAGGTATTGGTAATACTCTCCATGTATTTACTTGGTATTGGATCGATACTAAAATTTGCAGTATTGCACAGCACTACTGCTTACAAAGTAATGCTCCATTTTATTGCAAAATGTTTTTTAATTGTCAGTAGCAACAGTTGGTCTTGAACAGCAGTCATTACTGTCATTTTTTTGTGCGAACTGAAATGTACATTTCATTTGATTTGATTAAAAGTCTGTGTTCTAGCTTTAAGTGTTTGCCATTCACACTAGTGTAAATAAAAAGTTGAAGGTATAGCTAGAAAAGCCAGCATTAAAATACAGGTTAGTCTCCTTCCACGTTTTTTGGAAGTGATGGTTGACTCAAGGTGTAGGTAGTTCACCATCATATACAAATCTAACACACAAAACGAGTCATTTGTCATGGGTTTGACTTTATTTACTAGTATATTAACACATTACATGCTACAGAAAATAAAAAGGTAATTTGTCTTGAAAGAATATAGTGTTATAATAAAATGGCACATTTTGATATTAACACAATTACCACTGCTGTTTTGCCACCCCTTCCTTTGCATGAAAGGAAATGAATGACTTCATGCAGGGCTACTAAAAAAATACTTCTTGGTGGTTTCATTGGCAACACAATTTATAAAGGTAATGATTTATGTAGCTAAGCACCTGCCATAGGCAGTATGAGTGACACAGAAGTCAGATTTGATCAAAATTACAGATAAAAAGGAACCTTATCAGGAAGCTGGCAGCAAAGATGAATGCAATTTCATCGACCGGATTATCTTTTAGTAATATCTTTAAATAGGAAATATTACAGTATTGAAGCTGGATATGGCCAACACAAAAATGAAATCTGAAAGCGAGACTGAAGATATTGGGCAGAACTATGAGGACAGAAAAGCAACGAGTAATGTCAATCTAAAGAGCACAAATATCAATGCAGAATGGATCAGATAAAATCAAATTTCATCTCCTTTAATCTCAAACACTGGAGGATTTCACTTTCAGCATGGAGCCCCCTTCTGAATGCTGTCACAGTGCCACCTAAGGGCTGCTCAAGGAGCTGGCCAGAAACACTGTACCATGGCATCTGAGAGGAACCGTTCACATGGAAGAGAAATCAAGTTCTCACAGATCAAATTCAAAGTTGAGCAGGTTAACTCTGGTAAAGATTTAAGCCGCACACCCAGCCTGCTTCAATCCAAGCCAGTCTGCATTTTGATAAATGATGGGGATGATTGTCAGGTGTCAACAAGTAAAACCGATTCAATTTCACAAAGAGAGGGGGGAAAAGGCAATCTAGACCACTACTTAGAATGTGGGAAATAAAGAAAACAGAGAGAGGAATAAAGCAGTAAAGCAGATTTGGCTTGTGCATTGTAACTTAAAGGGCTTTAAATTAAAGACTGACAAAAAGGATTAACTGAGGAAGCACAAATGAAACAAAGGCCCATAAGCCTGAGGATTAAAAGAGCACACTGGTGGAAGATGGCAACAACATAGTTAAAAGGTTAAAAACAAAAAACGGCCAGGGGTCAAATATTTCCACCACTTTCTCTTTTGGACACACTTTACAAGATCTTAGCACAGAGTCAGTTCTGTTACAGTAAATCCTGTGAGCTGAATGGAGAGCACTAACATGTAAAGACAGTACTAACTAGTATAGTGGACAGCCTACATTCACTCTGTTCAATCATGTACATCACACGCAGAATGAGAACACCATGGCCCTTGTGAGGGGCTTGGGTGGGGGGCAGATGTGCCTCCCCCAAAAGTCAGTTCGTTCATTTTGCACCCTTCACTCCCTCCCAACATGCAGCAGTAAAAAGTGTTTCGCCCCTTGGTACTAAACCAGCTATGAAGAGAACTACAAAATAACAAAAACAAACAAACAAAAATAAATCAATATTTATCATGTAATGATAATCACATAGTACGTCATTTCATAACAGTATGTTCTTATTTTTTCTTACAAAAAAAAAGACTACTTGGTGGTACTTGGTCATAGGTGATTGCTGGATAGGTAATTGAAGTGAGAGAATGTAGTGTTGCCTTTATCGCCTCCACCTCCTTGACAGTCTCGCAGCTTCTCTGCTTGGCTGCTGGGGCAAGAACTATGGCTATAGCTACATGAAGTTGCTCCGAGCTGCTGGTCTTCACTCAGTTCTCCGTTTGACACCAGGCAGGAGGGTAAAGTGAGTGTCGGACTGGGTCTTCTCCTCGAGAACAGCAAGCCTCCAAAACCGAGCTCAATCATTTCCCACGGAGATCAGTTAAATATCTTTTCTAAAATGTTGCTGCTGTATTTGATCACACTGGAGTTGTGGGTAACACAGAATAGTGCTGCATTCATGTCCAATATGAAGGAAAATGTAGAAGAAAAGAAAATAATGGCGCCATGTTTGACTGTGCTGCTCTGATCAGGCTTAGCCTCTTCCATTTTCTGATCTTGATGCTATGTCCAACGGTTAGCACGTGCACAGTCTTCTTTGTTTAATTCTAAACTTCAAAGAAACCTGATCAGTGTGTAGCTGTTTTCCTTCTCCTTCATGCTAACTGCAACCGGCTGATTTAGCTAAGCTAACTATCTCCACCTTCATATTCACCGTATGGAAATTAGAGGGTTGCCTACTGTCCTCTAAGACTAAGCACATACAAAACCGGGATTGCTGCTGGATTCCCATCTGACATCAATGCAGCACAAGTGACCCCACAGTGTTCCACGATGACAGATGAAGAAACAACAGCAGTTATCTACAGGCTCTGACACAGGAAGAGGAAGTGGTTGAACTCTGCGCCGAGGAGTCTCCCGAGGAGTGAGTGTTGATAATGTGTCTATGATGGAGGGAAGGTTCTAAAAGGTGTTACTTTGTATCTGTTCCACTGTAGATGACTGAATTCGGTCTGTCAGTAAGTGAGGGCAGGTGGGGGATGCGCAGGGTAACTGTGACTACGTAAGAGGCTAGAAATGGAGGGTATGTGCATTACAAGTCTAGTGAGGGCCAGTTTTGTTCTCAGTGATTCTCTGAAACTGTACTTGGTGCAGATAAAAGCTGGAGCTGTGAGGTGAAGTGGGGAGAGGACGTAGAATGAGGCAAAGGTAGGGAAGGGAGGAGGGGCGAGGAAGGGTCTACCACTAGTGTCCAGGTAGAGGCCCGGTGGTCCGCTCTCAGCTGAGCTCGTCCTCGGCATTGTGCTGGTCCAGCAGTTTGACATGCGTGAAGGGAAAGTGGCCGCGCTTGCCTTTGCATTCCCCCTCCCATTGGCCGTTCACGTTGATTTTGGTCACCTTCACCATGTCCCCCACCTGCACAGGAAGAGAGGAGAAACTATGAGACACAAGCTCAATCCAACTGTCCTCTCAAAAACCACCATGTCACATGCACTTGCATTCATCATTAGAGTTTCTTAGCAGTAACTGTAATGATGAACAACCAGATTGACTCAGATGCTCGGAAAAACATTTGAAGCAAGCAAGAGATGCGAGTGATCTGTAGGCGAGGGCTTGCTGCTGGGTGAAGTAATGCATGATTACAGGTGACCTGCACAGGGAGGGGAGTGTCCTGTGTCACTGAACCTGCGCAAACAAAGAGCAGCAGACAGTTCCAAAGTTCAAGTCTGTGAAGGCGATGACTTAACGGCATAAGATCTATCTGATAACATTTACCAGACAGGTGCAGCTGTGTCAAAGAATTTGCAGGACAGGTTTTTATATCCCGGATGTGAAGCCTCAGAGGTATTGCGCTCTGTGCACCCAAAACTGCTGCTTCAAATAGGTAATGCAGTTTAGCCAGTTTTATTTATCCAGGTAGCTGAAAAGTCTCTACAATTAATTGTCACGAGTTAATATTTTTTTTGTATCAGAAGTAAGGCGATTGAACACCTGGCATTGTTTTTGATCATTATTTGTTCCACAAAATGTGAGAAGAGGGTTTAAAAAAAACAAGAAAGAAAAAAACTCAGGTTGCTGGTTTTGTCCCACCAGCAGTATGCAGAGCCTGTTGGAGGATATGAGTAATAAAGGAAGAGGAACTCCTGGAGACAGTTTTCATACTGTATCATTTCCAGGTCTCAGACAAATAGTGCATCAATAGACTACACACAAGTCTTCATGAGCAAACACTGGCAATAGTGGATATAATAGCTATCATCACTACTGCAAAACAGACAATTAGTACAGTTCTTGACATTTAAAAGTGTGCTTATGCCTACAGTGAGCAACTACCGCACCACAACTACTTGAACTGGTTTGTAACAACATGCATTCATGTTAAATTCTGGTCTACAACATTTGAGTAATACTGATATCTTTTTAATTCTTTTTTAGTTAAGGCATCTGGGTTGTGGAATTAAGTACCACAAAGCATCAGTGGGTGCAGTACTTTTTAGCATTTTAAGTATGGCTTACAAATGTGGTTAAAAGATTCTCATTCTTGTTGCCATCAAGTTGTGTGAGAGTGATACTTGTGGTTAGAAATGTCTTGCAGTGATGAAATGCTTGTTATCTTTGCTTTTGGCATTGTGCTCTAGCTGTAAAACCATTAAAGGCGTTTCACTGTGTGAATCCATGTGCTAGCTTTGAGTTAAGTTATTGCTATCATTTAGCAATACTGGTGCATCATGAAAAGCCTGCACCCAGGAACTACAGATGGAAAGTTTCTTTTAGCTATATCTAGTGCATGTATTGCAAATAAATAAATGAATCAAAATTTTACTTGGATGATCATTAAGCTGTTTGGGGACTGTGTAGCACAGCGGTCCCCAACCCCTGGGCCTCGGACCGGTACCGGTCCGTGAGTCGTCTAGTACTGGGCCGAGAAAGTTGAGGCTCAGGTGTGAAATGTGTGGTTTTCAGGGTTTTTATCGGTTTTCAGCATTATTTTGTTAACGTTTTTATTGGTAACTCTGTTTTCCTGGGTCTTTTCACGTGTGTTATGAATAAATCATCTTTTTTTCGGTACCGGTACTAGTTTTATTTTGATGTATTTATCCGCAACACCTTAAAGGCCGGTCCGTGGAAATATTGTCGGGCATAAACCGGTCCTTGGTGCAAAAAAGGTTGGGGACCGCTGGTGTAGCACACGGTTTACAGATTTTAATCTTTTAGATTTTTTTTAGATTTAGATTTTCTCCCTTTTCAGTTAATTAAACTGATTACTTTTTACTTAATGATGTAACTTTACTGAACTAATTTCTATTGTATGTTGTGCACCATATTTGCACTTGTTCACTAATCCTGTAGTATCCAGTGTGGGCGTGTATGACAAGTTCTAGGATGGCAGTTAATGTTAGCTAGAATATTCTGCATGTTATTTCATACTGAGCTGTTTTATCTTTACAGTTCAGTTACTTATGCTGCGTTTTATTTCCCTTAATGGTAGAGGCTGTGGCACTATGAGTGCAGTGGCTTAGTGGGTTTATGATCACCATCGTTTGCAGAATGACCCTCTTCACACTGACTTTTAAGTGGATTATCACGCTCTATAAAAGCATTACAAAAGTAATGATTAATGATGTAATTTATTATCACTATTTCCAGTATGTAATAGGTAGGAAGATAGGTAAACGATTACCTAAGACAAAGGTTGGTTATGAAAACATTCATTAGTTGAAAATACTAGTGTTTACATAAAAAGGACTTTACTGAACACATTTAAATGCCAATTCCATCCATTTAAACATATTAAAGCTTTAACTTGAGTTCTGTGTACATTCAGTGTAGTCCCTGCAGTAAGGACTACAAGAGTTTCTTGTTTTGTTTTTTATGTTAATGACGATGATGATGTACTGATGACGTAAAAGCAGGTGCAGGCAGCGGCAGACTAGCTGAGCTGATGAAGAATAGTTACTGCTTTCAACCACAATGGCCAACAAAGTACTTGCGGTTGTAGTAGGAGGGGAATGCTATGAGGTTTTAGTATTATAGTCAGTCTGCCTCCCTGCACACAACTCTAACCTTGTTACTAGGTCAACACACTTCAAACACAAAAAGCTCAAGGTATCCAACAACAGTAAGATACCTGAATGATCCTAAAACAGAGTAGTGCCAAAAGAAGGAGGTAAAAGGTATTTTTGGTATTTCTGGTAAAGATATTTTAAATCTTCATAATTGAAAAAAATATAACAGATTAAAAACAGCACGTTATAAATATTTTAAATCTAAGGCAAGATATTGACATTATTGTCTAAATTACACCTAAATAAAACAATCCACGTTCTGGTCTGAACAAATTGAATTGAAAGCACCGGTGCAGCCAGTCGGATGTTAGTCTGGATCTCTGGAACTGACCTAAAAACAAGTTTGTCACATCTGCAACTTATAAGACGTTTCAAAAATAAGAAAGAAACTTTGTATTAAGAAATTATATAATCCCACAGACTGCAGTAGCAGAGGCTGCATGGTGACACTGGATGTTTTTTGTATCTTATGAATACAATCAATACACTATAATTCGTAACGAGTCACAAGTATGATGCATGGACTGTAAATCAGGAACAGCTTGGGTTCTTATGTTTTTCAGGTCTTCTCCATCAAACCACTTTATATTTGTCCAACTATATATTTTATAGTTCATGTCCACATTAATAAGAGAATAGCAACATATATTCTCTTTTGAGAACTGGAAGCTAGAGATCATTTCCAACATGTGCCAGAAAAAACCTTAAATACTTTTGTCTTTGTCATGTAGAAAGACAGCATAAAGTCAAAGGGACTCTGCTTGCATGACTTAGTGTTGCTTGTGGATGTCATTATTTAAAACTACTTGGCAGGTCACTCGGTCACAACACTGCTGCGTTATGAAATGGTTCCAGGGTTTTAACAGAGCAAAGGTAAATGTTTATCCAAAAATTCTGCTGAGCAATGGATTCGCAATAGTTTATTACCAAGTCCCCTTATTATTCTTTTTGTTTTCTTTCATTTACATATAATGGCTCTGTATTAGTAAAATTTGAACTGAGGTTTAGCTGAGGACATCCATAAACATTATAAGTGTAAAACCCGCTTACTAGATTTTATTTCAAACTTCATACAAAAGTCTTTGCTGGTGATGAAAGCTTCTAGAAGCCTCCTGTATGGAGAAACTAGTCAGGTGTATTTCTCAGGTGTGATTCTGTCTTCAAATCCTGAAGGTTCTGTGAGCCTCTTCTATGAACTCTGCCTTTCCATAGATTTTTAGTTGGGTTGAGCTCAAGTGATTGGCTGGGCCGTTCTAGCAGCTTTGTTTTCTGAAACTAACTGAGAGTTTCATTGGCTGTGTGTTTCATTTTCTTCCTTAAACATCCACCCTTGTTTCATTCATATGTTTTGCAAGAATAATGTTGAAGGTCTTGAGGGAGCTCGCTGGTTTTACCCATCATGAGATGGTGCTTGTGTGACACCGTTTTGTAATGCATCAGTTGGGACTGAACTAGCTGATATTAATTTCCATAAAGTGGGAGGATTGCTTTCTAATTACTGATAGATTTCAGCAGCTGTCATGACTTCCCGTGCCTTTCTGCACTTCCCTTTCTTCATGTGTTCAATACTTTTCCCCCGTTTCCATTTCTCATTATTGAACATAACATAATTTATGGACATCTACGGTTTGTTTTCTTTGCATGTGTGGATTGGATGGGTTGTTACCAACATCTGGTGGGAATTTCATGTCAGTAGCACCTTAAGAAATATATTTACATAGAAAATTGGTGACATGTTCAATATTTATTTTACCTGCTGTATATAGTCAGACTCTTGTCTGCTGTCTTTGATGTGTTTAATAATAAAACGAATGCTTTCACTATCACTGTGACATTTCACAGTTCAACTGATATGAAAGTTTTATGCAAATGAGGGTTAGTGTTTAAGAGAGGAGAAAATTCTTTAGGAACTGATTACAATGTAGTAAAATATTAAATATTAGTATTAAGACATGCTAATTTAAAGAATAATAGGAATAATTAGCAGCTGCAGCGTCGAACTCGAGTCCACGGCTACTGGAATTACACATGTTCTCGGTAACATACCTACTACCTTTATCTCCAACTATATGGACTTCGACCTTTATGATGACTCAAGCTTAAGTACATTTCTATAATAAACTCCAGCAACAATGACATCTCTGTGAAGCTGACAGGTTTTGTGCCTCGGAATTGAGAAAACAAGTGAATAACCAGAGTCACATGAAGCAGGATTTAAATATTGCAAATTAACTGCTCAAGATAAACAGTGATCTTTACCATCAAGGAAATGTAAGCTAATAATTAACTGTCCAGTACTGCCATGATGAGTAACTGATGGCCAAACAGAGTGGCGAAAACGCATTGTCTAATATGGGCCTAACCCAGAAAGGTCCTCCACAGGTGGGAGTGGCAGAATCCAGTTCATACAAAGGATGTCTCTGTCATATGCGAAAACAAATTTCAAGTAAATTGAAGCTATTTTTCTGGCTGCTGAACAAGCCAGAGAAATAGCTTGTTCATCAGAATGAAAAGCAAAATGTGGGTAGAGGTGTCTTTAGCCATCCAACAGCAGAGGAGCAGAGACAGAGCACGCTCAGTTTAACCTCCTAGTCCCATTTGTGGCTCAGCTGGACTCCTGGCTTCACAGAGACCAGAGGAAATGGTCCTGTTCCCAAACACAAACTATTTCCTTCCCCAAATGACCTGCTCCGTGGGAGCCCCGCTCTCACTTCCGGACAGTTTAACAGCCCAGCCGCCGTGAGCAGCGAGCAGCACTTAATGGCAGTCATACTTTGAGTCTCCTATTTAGGTTCAAATCTGGGGGAAAGCGCAAACACTCGTCAACTGACTAGAGCACAAGTCTACAAGGAAGAAGCCAAGGTATTAATAACCACTGTGTAGAGACTTGCAGGTCAGTCTGTAATGGTGCTGGACTGATTTCAGAAGAGAAATTAAAAGAGCAGATTAACTACAGAACCTAAAAGAGAGCTGCTTAATCACTTTTTGACCTCGATTACTCTTCACCCAGCTCAACAAATAATGAGGAAGAACTGGCCAAAAGCACAATGGGGAAAGAGAGCCAAAGAATGTGAGTTCAGTCTCGATAAGCTAAAAGGGCTGGATCTACATCCGTCTTCCTAACTATCTCCTAGCTTCCAGTGCATGTTATAAGGAGAAAAAAAAATTAAAATACCCATACAGCCATATTTACCTCTAGAGCCAGGGCTGTCTTGTCATAGGCATTAGGCACCCTCTTCTGTATTGCCCTGGCATAGACAGGTCCGTTCTGGAGGTTTGGGAGGGGTGTGGGTTGGGCGTACTGGCTGGGGTCTCCCACCAGTGGAGCGCCAGATGGTCCTGCAGAGCCGTCAGAGTTCCCCAGCATCCCCATCCCACCAGGTGCAGCACCAGACATGCTAGACCCCGCCACCGAACTGGGGGATGCTGGTCGGTACTTCTCCACGTACGGCACTGGGATCATCCCTGTGCGACCTTCCGAGTTCTGGGCGTTCCACCACTGCTCCTCTGGTTTCTCAAGAACTCGGAGGATATCACCTTTCCTGAATGGGAGATCCTCGTCGTCGTTGCCGGGGAAATCAAAAAGTGCCCGAACATACTCATCCTCCAGGCGTGGTGGGGGGCCTCCACCGGGGCCAGCACTCATGAAAGTGGGGTGCTTAGATTTGTTGATGGGTTCTATTAAGGTGGTGGTATCCAAGTAGTGGATTTTATAGAACTCTAGCAAAGCAGGTAGTGCATCAAACTCCTGGTCGCCGATACGGAACCTTGGATGGGCCAAACCTGGAGAAAAAGAGGGAGGGCAGGTAAAAGGTGAAGTTAGAAACATAAAAATGAAATCATTACTCATTTCAAACACTCCTTTCCTTATCTATTAGTGTTCACATCTGGGAAATCTAAAGGCAGCCTATTTATGTACACAAGTATGATGGTGATGATTTCCAACATGACCAGGAAGTCTTTCGGTTTCCTTATTTTACATTTTTCTCATACATGTCGTGTTTCTTCCAGTAAGTGTTCTGGAAAATGCATGAGGGAATACAACAAATATTGTGGGAGAAGACAACCAAGCAGACGCTTTTTTCAGATCAAAGCCTGCCAAAATCAGTCTATGAGAGACCCCCCCCCCCCTTCTTTTTTAAGGTGATTTGCTTCCAGTTTGACAATTTGGCTTATATAATGTTACACCGGCCTGACTTACACTGATACTGTGCGCTATTTAAGAACACATACCGCCCACTCCGGAACCTATAGACACACAAACCATCAATTTGTGATTTCTTAAAGACAGTGTGTTGCATAACGCACAGAGAATTGTCTGAATTGAAACATGTTTCAGTGTGTCTGGCCTGCCAGGAAAATGTACTATTGCGCATCTTCTTTGGTGCAAGTCATGCAAGAATGGTCACATCAGCATCTCCTAATATCAAGCCTCCCCCCACCCCGTACCCCCAGCTCTGCTAGCTTACCTGGACCAGATTGTCGGTTGTTGCTGATGCTGTTAATTATGTAATGCGAGACTTTGGAGTTCTCTGACACCGAAAGCACGTAGTCGCCGGGGCTGGTGATGGAGTCCCGAACCAGAAACACGCCATGCCTCTGCCCCTGCAACAGAGACACAGCCTCCTGTCTGCTCAACCGACCCCAGTACCAACTACCACGGTCCTCCGCGTCAAAATTTCCAGCCATGATAACCACTCCAAAGCCGAGGCTTCACCGGGCCTTCCCTGCTCTCCCTCCCGTTATCCACAGGCAGAGCGTTCAACTCATACAAAAACTTTAGCGCCTAGAGCACGTTTAGTAAACAGGCGACATCCGCAGCTGGCCGTTTGGGCATCAATTCTCCGACACTGAAGCTCAAGCACCTAATAAAAAGGGACTCTGGCTCGGTTTGTGCTCAGAAGTCAGCTCTGTCCGTCCTATTATACGTTTTAACGCCACAAATCCTGCTACAATCCAGCCGCCGATGACAACTAACTTCAAAAACTGAAATGGCGGATACGCGAAAACAAAAAAAGACCCTTCTCACCGGATATGATGTATAACACTTACGGCGCACGCGCCAGCGTGACAGCGTCAGCTAGTCGTCTCGTCCATCGTCCGCTTCGAGCGACGTCTTTTGAAAAACAAGCACAAACAAGCACGAAAATACTTACAACATTTAGAGGAGCTTATCATAAATTGCCATGTCGCGTATTCGTGCGTGTTTTCTTACAGAAATTAAACATTTTTAAAGTTGCATTGTGGCGATGGTCACGAAAGCGCTTTTCCTGCTCGGGCTAACTTTTTCTTGTGTTTTATGGTGGTGGGTTGTGAAAGCCAAAGCTTATCCCCACTGCTGCACCGATCGCAGAGCGTTATGCAAATTATTCTTTCTCACACAGTAAAGTAAATAACTTCATATCTTTTCATCTTAACCAAGTGAACATAAAATAGATTAGCTGCATTTTGTAATATTGGCCGCTAGGTGTCACTCAAAGACTCTTCAATATACCGGTTCTCACACCTAAATGTCAAGTTTCGGTACTCCTGTGAGACTAGTTACAGTAAATTATACCTGCTAAGTTTTCTGTGGATAAGAGAGCTTCATTCTGTAACCAAATGTAACCACAGAAGAAAGCAGGTCATGTCCTATGTGTACCACCAACATAAACACTTGATCACTGTAAATACTGAGGTAAAGCAAATCTGGAGTATTGCATCACGCAGAAAACAATGATAAAATAAAAGCTGATTACAGCCTTTGTCTGTGTATTCCATGTATATTCCCGTGTTTCTCCTCAAGAAACACAGGAATGTACAGAATATATGTTTTATACCTTGAGGCAACTGTTTTTGTGATTTGGTGCTATATAAAACAGAAAACAAACAAACAAACCCTACAGTAATACAGAGAAAAAACCCAATAATCAAATGACCCCTTATGAGTAAGCAGTTGGTGACAGCGGGAAGGAAAAACTGCCTTTTAACAGGAAGAGGAGAGGGGACTGGAAAAAAATTACTCTGTTCTACTGTTTGTTTGCCACTATACCATTTACCATTTAATCTCTTTAAATGTATAATTATCTCCATGTCCACAGAGCCTCAACTCTACTGGGAATTACAAGACTCACATTTTGAAATGACTGACTTATTACCCTAGCAGAATACAGTGAGGATTTGGGATCTGGACTCCACGTGCATCACCCCTACAATAATGTAATGTAAAATTGGGGAGTGATAGGAAACATCCCCTAATGCCTAAAGGGGGATGTTGCAGTGGTAGAGGAGCTGGAACAGAAGGCAGTTTCAAATGTGAGGTAGATGTCCTCACATTTAGTGGTGATGCAAAAAAAAGTTCAACTTGTTCTCAGCTGTCCACAAAACATAGTTCAAACAGCCTTTTGGGTAGGATGTGTGAGTCTAACAGGCTGCAGATGGACAACAGATCCCACTTATGCCACCAGTATAATTCTGGCCTCTTAGGACATGGACACAGGACCTCTGATTGGTGGTGTCACTTAGTGTCTGACACCTGGACACATGGGAAATTATCTCCACTATCAGCCAAAAAGATATGAAATACAAAATAGGCATTGTTTTTAAAAAGAATTGATTGGCAAAGCAAATGTCTCTTCAACTTTTATATAATGTTATAATTTAAAGCTACAGTACATTACTGTGCAAAAGCTCTTGAGCCACCTCTTCCCGTTTCTTTGTGTTTTGTGAAGAAAATGGGAAATGAGTACAATGACTGATTGAAATGTGCAGACATAAATAAAAAATACAGCATATAAGTCAAAATCAGTCTGTACAATTATAACAAGCTTGAAAGTCAATGTTTGGTATGATTCAACACAGTCTGAACTCTCTAAGGCCGATTTCTTGTCGGCCTTTAAGTAGACTTCAGGAACAATTCTCCAGGCTTCTTGAAGGACATTCAAAGCTCTTCTTTGGATGCTGGATGCCTTTTGTTCTGGTCTATGTTAAGATGATCCCACACTGCTTCAGTAATGTTTTACCACTTCTCCTTATGTCTTCCACTTGTAAGGTTTCCTCATATTTTTAAGGTCACACTGCACAACACACCGAGCCTTTGGTTAATACTATTTTGGAAATCTCCACGTTAGTGCAAAAATACTATTTCATGCCTGTCAAACTGAGTTATTATTTTGGCTTTTTTCATTGGGTCAACTAAAGAAATTAGAGCAAATAAGGTGTAGACACTGCACTACTTCATTCCTAGAGTCAGGTGCTTTCTTTATGCATGACTTACAGGTCAGTGTTAAGTGGTTTAAAGAACAAAACACATTCCTCGGAGAATGGTAAGTTTCAAGGACTGGACTGAAAATGGGTGAAAAAGCCGTCAATGTCCAAAGAAAAATTTGAAAGACCACCAGAAAACCTGGAGAACTATTGCTCAAGACCACTTTTAAAATGTTATAAATCTGTTCCCCTTTGCTATTTTTTGCTCCTTGGAAGCAAAACGCTAGCTTTGTTAAAACAATTTCAGGATACTGACACAAATGGATTTTATTATAGTGTCATTTATTACCTTTTAATCCACCACAGTGCACTTGCTAACCCTAACCCAGACATATGATAGAATACATTTGTTTACAACTGCACCATGCTGTGTTTTTGGATCATTATAAATGCATATCAAATGAGTTATTAGAACATGTATTTTGTGAATTTATTAATATGCATGTATAAATTCATCTGTCAGGAGAAAAGCCATGACCATTTAGTAAAGACTTGGCTGTTAATGACTTGATAACAAGAAAGAGTTTATAACAAGCCCATTGTTTTTCCTGCTATTCTGCTGGCACATCATTTGATGACTGTTTATAATATAAATCACTTTAAGAAGCACAGATAACAGTTATCCACGTGTTAATATGCTATAGTATTATAGCGTCAGATGTATGTATGATGTGTCCTACAAATATTTGCTGTAGCTAACACATGAACACATGAGGAAAACACAAACGTAAGAGTAAAAAACGGGTTTTTCCCTTCAGAGAATTTATTGATAAGATTCATGGCAAAACAGCAGACAATCAGGTTTTACAATTTCATCTTAAATTTGAATGAAATGAATGAGTTTTCCTTTAAAAGGATCAACGTGATAAAGTGGCATGAAAACAAAGACACTTTGGGACAAATGGAACATGGAGAATATCATAGAGGTATATGCTATAGACAGAAAAACTGATACTGAGGAAAGAATCATAAACGATTCAAGGCTACAGACACCCATACCTTCAAATTCAAATTTCCATGTTTCTTTTTACAACTCACAATAAAGCAGCAAGAGTCCTTGGACAAGACGTACGCATGGACTTCACATCCTCTTGTCACTGGAAACATTTATAGCTCCACAAGCTGAAAACCACAGTTTGCATCAAAAGGACAGGTCATTCTGCACGTGGCAATGAGTAGATAGTTGTACAGAGGAAGGGGAAGGACAAATCACCAAACTATAGACATATGGCCACAATTTCAACCAGTTTGCTTACTCAGGGCTGAAGAAAGTAAAGCTGAACAATATGAGAGTTTCTGACAAGCAAGTTTGAAGAATCTTTACATATGTATATATTCAAATACTTCAAATGAGCATATCAGCTTAATTTGATTTCCCTTTGCCTTGATTTCCCATGACCTCAACATAAAAGCAGACAAAATGATGTACATATCCCTCTCCTGCAGTCAGTCAAAGACATGTTTCAGCCAATGTAAATTCGCAAGCTTCAGCAAAACTCTTACCCCAAGAATGGAGTCCAAACCACGAGTGGTACACAAAGCCAGTGGATGCTTTACATACCACAAACTGAACTCACTGTACAACAATCAATATTTGACACTCTATACAGAGAATTGCTAAAAATAAGTTCAATGTGGCTCTCAAGGACAGACTTCAACAGTGTGAGTTCAGTGTCACATGCTTTACATCTGCCTCTGTTTAAAGGGTTCGTATTAACGCGCTGTTGGTTAAAGTGGTTTTACAGGGACAATGGAATACTAGGTCCTTGTAAAGATGCATTAAAGGGATGCTTCTCTTTGTAATTAGATTCCACTGATTTACCACTGAATTTTTACAGCCTATGTTGTATTAATGTAGTAAAAGGGAGCAGCTAGCAGCTTGTGTGACATGTTGGTTACCTATAAGTATCATGTTATTACTGCTGAACACACTATGGTATGAGGTAAATTGCTAAATGGCTGGATTTGCTTATTTCAATGCTTTTCATTAGTTTCTTGTCTTACAGTAAAAGCTCCTGGTGAGTATTAAAGGGAAGATGCACTTGTTTTATACACTTATATCTGTGTACAGGTCTTGGGGCTTTTATTTGGCTTCAGTAATAAAGGCCATATACCTCTATATAAAAGATGGACATGGTCACCGGTGACTTCACCCACTGGTTTCCACACTCTGCATTTTAAAACCTCAACATTTGCATTTTGGCTCTAGCTGTGCCACATTTTTAGAGCCAGGAATGACGAGCGGGTGGTGGTTTAGTTATGAGTTAAGTTATCAGCAATGGTAGCTAACATAATAGGCAAACTGCATTCGTGTCTTGGATGCCACTCTTTGCGCCACACAGCAACTCAATAACTTCCAGAAAAGACATTAACAGCACAAACATGGTAAAGAGGTCCAATTCAGGAAGTGAAATTAGCTAAAGTGATGATTAGCAGGAAGCTATCAACTATAGTACATTTAGCAGCCACCAACTTTAAGCCTTAGTCAGATCCAAATGAGTATCTGTACAGACTGTACAAAATGTTTCCATACCAGGCTATAAACATGGTTAATTCTGAGGTAAAGTTTAACATGGGGGGCAGTGGGATTTATTTATGTTTAGAACCAGTGGTCACTCCAGAAAATGTGGTAAATGTGATTTTTGGCTTCTATTTTCAACCGCTAAGGTTTGCATATTTGTCCTCAGGTGATGCCCCTCGAGTCGCAACCTGTTAGGTCTGAAGGCTAAAGATTTAAAAAGAAGAAATACTAGGGGTGCAGAATCAGAGGGAATGAGCTTCTAAAGACTACATTAGCCTCTTTTTTGTCTCTAATAAGACACCTAAATCTTTTATTGTTGAAACTGCTGTTGATTCAGTTCTGATTTGATTCTGTTTTTTTCCAAAAGGAAGCTGCACAGGTCATATCGAGCCTTCATATTGAGTTGGACACAGTTTCAGGTGTCAGTGTGGTATTCTCTAAATGCTATCCATTTGGCAAAATTTGGCACTGCTTTTTTTTTTTCATCTGTATCAGTATTAATACTAAAACATGCTAAAACATTTTGGATGAAAAAAAAATTTACTCTTACGTTAGAATCACCTGAACCTGCCCCTATTTTAGTGCTGCAATAAAACAGCAATAAGATGGAGTCAGCCTGTTATCAGATTGAGACTGAATGGGGTCAAGTTGGCAATTACATGCAATCTGTTTGTGATAATACAGCAAACAACGGTGATAGATTAGTGAAAATGTCAATTCTGTTGCTGTTTACATACACAGACCTTCACCTTAAACAGAAATTCACATTAGCTTCAGAGTTCAGCCAGAACCTCACAGGTTTGAACCAGAAATTCAGAAACAGACAGAGATGCAGTTGCTGCAGGACAGCAGTTCAACCACAGTAATATCTGGTTACTAGTTGGCAACCAGCTGAGTCAAGTCCCTTATTGCAACAAAATGCATTACACATGAGTTTCACTCATTGGTCCAGAGTGACTCAGATCGTAATCTTGTAATGTGTTCTCATCTCTGGGGGACCAGCTGGTGATCAAAGTAACTTGCAGCTGGTCACCGAATGCAAAAAGATTTCATACAATCACTAAATGACCAGTGTGACTAAGCCATAACATCCTGGGTCTTGGTGTAGCTACTCAGTTCATTTGTCTGAGATAACAATAGAAGATCTAAACAACAAGGTGGGACCTTTGTGCTCACATCAGAACTGTGCCTGAGATGACCATACAAGGAGTATCCACTCTAATACACATACAGAACCAAGAGTAGAAAAATTTATCTGAAACTGAGTGTTTAAAGCAGTGTGAAACGTGAGCTGTTGTCAGGGATTTACTCATATATACATCTGTAAATATGAGTAAATCCCTTTCCAAAAAATTAGAATATCATGGAAAGGTTTATTTATTTCCATAATTCCATTCAAAATGTTAAACTTTCATAGATTATAGATTCAGGGCCCACAACATAAACAATTTCAAGCACTTAGTTGTTTATTTGTACATAATTTGGGCTTCCAGCTCATGAAATCCATGAAAACATGATTTCAAAAAATTAGAATACTATGAAGACATCAGCCCAAATTTACAAACATACAAATAAACAACTAAGTACTTGAAATCGTTTAAGTTGCGGGATCTGAATCTATAATCCTGAAAGTTTAACGTTTTGAATGGAATTATGGAAATAAATAAGCTTTTCCATGATATTCAAATTTTTTGGAAAGGGTCTGCATACTCTGACCTCATCTTTAAAACTTGTATGTAGGCAATAGGGACACCAGGGAAAAACATAGGTCTACATTAAGGCCTCACGCCCTTAGAGGGACATGCTTCAAAGGTTATTAGTTTGGAAACTGGGATCAGGCCCTTTCCCTTCATGCTTTACTGTCCACATGCTTTCTGTTCATCAGAGCTTCAGCACCGTCTCATAACAACATCAGTGTTAGCCTCTCTCACTTCTCAAAGCCTTTCAATTGAACAACTCTACAAATAATAATAATAAAAAGAATTACAATATAGGGTTTTTTGTGACTAGCGCAGCCAGTTCTATATCTTTGGCAGGGTTTCTGTTATTATGCAGACCCCCTGCTGTTAGCTAGTGATTCAAGATAGCTCTATAATGGAGCCAGCTGTGTTTATGCTAATTTATGATGATGTTGCAAAGCAGTACATCACAAAAAGCCTTCATTTGCTATGATACACACATAAACAGCTCCAAAGGTGAGCGTATTAGCACCTAGGGCCACGGTCTGAGAGAAAAAAAAGTTTGCAATTTTGACTGTTTTAAGGTGACATTTACTTTGCTCCAATGTAATATTCTTTACCTGGACAGAGTCTTTCTTCAGTGATCAGGCAGTCATTAAACTGGGTCAGCTCTTCCTTCAAGAGTTATTCACAAACATGAATACTGCTACTGCAAACCCCTTAAAATATACAAATTCTTGAATTCAGTGATAGTACTTGTGAAGTAGCTAATATACAATCTAAAAAATCTGTCAGATAAAAATGATTAGTTATATATATGTATATATATATATATATGTACTGTACATCTAAAAATACAGTTTATTAAAGCTTTGCAGGGATTATAAATGACACATGGAGAGAAAGCACAAGCCAGGTGAGAGCTACATACTGTATAAGGATATTGTGTTGTAACCCAGTGTACAGCATAGCAGCGACCTATATACAAGCACAGCACTGTAAGCGTGTGATGCACTCTAGTGTACAGCGCCGCGGTGTGAAGCATGACCTGGATTATGAGGAAAAAGGCTACTAAATATTTCAGCACTTGGCTTTGGGATGCATGGCAATGAGGTTAACACTTCTATCCACTGCAGGGGACAAAGGGATAAGATGAGCCAGTAGGTAAGGTCGCCTTCCACCTATATCTGAGCACCTATATGTGTATAGCACAGCAATATAGGAATTTAGAATTTTTTCTATATCATTTTAACTTTTGAAAGTAACTTTTTGTGCTGTTATAAATGTGGATGCTAACATCTGCCATAATATTTGCCCACTGATAAATTGGGTAGGCTTTAGTCATGTGACCTTAAATTTAGTTTTCCATTCGAGAACAAGGTAGATGAAGTAGCTAGGAGATCTTTTCACAAAATAATTGTCAGTCAAAGCTTTCCAGGCACAGCAGCAAAGCTTTAAAATGAGTTAATTTAACTTAATTTATTATAGTTTTGAGGTTTTCTTACATTAGGTTAAGTTTACTCTACTTCATCCTGCATACTAAGAGTTATGCATTTAGCTATTACTTCTGAAATAACAATCATAAAGATGCAGGTAATGGATCAAATCCTCAGTTTAGTAGAGTTTTGATCATTATTTCGGTTATGCTGTGTTTAGAGTTTGATTGGTGTAGATATGTGTTAATTAAACCAGTGATACTATAACTATCTGTATGGGGCACAGGAATATTTTATCTTAAACAGAGTTGGTTTTTACTATATTTTTGACTATATTGGTGTTTTATGTTAAATGTTGTTAACTTTTAATGCAAAAGTTGAGATTGTACAGTCGAGGCCAACAGATCTGGGTTTGTTTTCATTTGCTTCATTTTGTATTTAGTTTATTTTTCATGTTTCTTTGATACAGTGAAGAACCATTATAAAGGTTTAATATGTTTCAAAAACTTAATAAATTTGTTGTGCCACCTCCAAAACTTTTTGTCATGACAGTGAAAATGAAAAACAATGAAAATACCCTCAAAGCAACAAAGCTTTCATCCAATTTAAGCTTTTCCTTAAGAGGGACAGCGGAGTATCTTCATCTTTTAGCACTATAGACAAAAAAGCTGCAATGTCTATTTAATAACCGGGAGTTGAGATCTAATTCTAAATAATTACATGTACGGTTAGAAGAATGGTTTGTTACTATTTTCTCAGATGGATCATCATCTGTTTTAAGCTCAACTTCCCACATTTTGAGATGAAATATCTTGTTGTTTAGTTGAGTTAGCTACGTCTGATAAGTTTTCAAGCGAGATATAATTTCCTGAAGTTATTACTCCTCTTAGCTAAAGGTTGACTCAAGTAAAAGCTGGCTCATCGTCACCCGCTCTCCCTTGCATAGCCTTGGAAACAGGACCTTTTTCTTCCAGAGTCACTCATTGCTCTAGCTATTATCAGGGTGGTTTTTTAGCTTACTAATTTCACCTTCATCAAATTTCACATCACATTTCTTCTACTAAAACACAGTGCATCTGTTCATTTTCTTAAGCAGCAACCGGATTCTACAAAGATCTTCCGATCCATCAGGCTGGCCTTTGACCCACGTGGGCCTTTTACACAGTTCCACTTGTAGTTTTTGGCAAAAACATTTCCTTATAAAGGCCCTGATTACTTTGTCTTTTAACCAGGAATGGGACGTGTTACAGGCACATGTAGGTATTACTGGGATTACAAGGAGGAAGGACCTGAATATAGATTAGCATTCTATACATGAAAGCCTCGTGTGATATAATTTATCAGTCTATACTATGCAATAGCATCTGTGGTCTATTAGTACTTTAAACAACAGACAGCTAAGGTAAAACACACTTCCTGCTGGGGACTGGCTTGAGTTTCAGTCTGAGTTCAGCAGCCACTCCGTCAGCGTCTGAAGCTGTGATTCAGATCAGGGGAGGGACATCGAGTGGCACATTTATGCAGCACTGCAGCATTTTCAGCCACAGAATTCTCTCGCCTCCTTCCATGTAGAAGTAGACACAGGAAGTTAAACATAAACCGAGCAGTGGGGACCGATCAGGTAAAGTGTTCTGATTGGTCGGTAAACTCGTCTTCCTCAACTCTCATTGGCTCCACTGCCCCAGATGAGTGTTGCGACTGGCTCGAACAGCTCTGTGTGTCATCCTCGTACTCTGCCATCACTGCCCTTGTCCTCCTCCTTGGACGCTCCTCTCTCCTCTGCACCACCCTCTCCTTCTTCTCCTCCTCATCCCCTCCCCTCTCTCTCCTCCGCGCCCCTCCTTTCCTGTGCTCCCCTACTGTCCACATGCTCTCCTCCTCATCCTCCTTCCCTTGTACCTCCCTGTCAAAGTCCAGCAGCTCTTCCATCATCTCCTGTATCTCCATCTCTCCATCCAGCTCTTCCTCTACTTCCGAACGGAGCTCGCCCATGCTCTCAGTCCGGTTGGTGTCGTCTGTTTCCTCCTCTTCCCCAAGACCCCGTAGCCTTTCAGGGGGGTCGCTGGCCTGGCTCTCTCCAAACTCCTGGATGGTGGGCAGGTTGCCTTGCTTGGGACAGCGCTTCCTCAGGCTGACCAGGAAGGGCTGCGGCAGGGAGAAAATATCCACATTGTTGCCCAGGTCAATCCATGTCACGCTTGGGAAACTGCCCGGATCCTGAGGAAAAAAATATTCCCATGTTGCAGTATAAGCACTATGTTCAATAGGTATTTTCAACATAAATGCAACAAATCAAGTTAAAATCCTCAAACTGGTCAGTCTGTTAGTATAAATTTCAAAGAAAGAAAAAAATAAAAACTAACACCAGATTAGATCACAGAAAATGTTTTTTGATTTGTCACTTACTCTCAGATATTATTTACCCACGTTTTGAAGAAAGAAAAACCAAGCTGCTCTAGCTAAGTGATAAAAAGCCTTAGTTGTTAAGGTGGAAACCTGGAATAATTCAGGAACTACTGGGAGACTGATTTCAGCACTGAACACTAGTGAAAAATACTAAAAAGGATTATTAGTGACTTGAATTTTATATTGTAGGGCTATCAAGGCTCAAAACGAAATTTATTTTGGTTTAAGCAACAGTTTCCCCTTTTCTGGAGTTTCCTTTGTAAAATATAAGTATATAGTACGCAGCTTCAGACACTCCTAACATCTGAGGGATCTGAGTATATAAAATAGTAAAAGCACTGTATGAAAACATTGATATCTGACTTTCTGACCTTCAGGGCATCTGTCAGCTCCTTCAGAATCGTTCTGGTCAGCCTGTTTCCGTTCAGTGCCAGAGTCTCCAGGTGTGGGAGAGAGGCCAGTGTGGGGAGCAGCAGGAGGAAAGCCTCGTCTGTGAGCTCAGTGAAGCCCAGCTCCAGGCTGATCAGAGTAGACGCGTAGCGCTGCAGGTGCGCACACAGACGCTCCATGTCCCGAGCTGTGAGAGGGATGCCGGAAAGATCCAATGCCCCGCTGGATGGAGGGGCTGACAGCACTGCCTTCAGACTGGAGACAGACAGAAAATGATGCTCTGTGTCAGTTATGAACTCCAAAAACGTTGGATGCTTTGCAAAATGTAAACAATGAAATGATTAATTAATGATTTGCAAATCTCATGAGTCCATATTTTATTCACAATAGGGCACAGAAAACATTTAGAATGTTTACACTGAAACATTTACAAATAATTGCATCTTGAGGTAAATTTCACACAGCACGTCCAGCGTCTCTAAATAGGGGTCGTGTCTGAGTACTCTTACTCTGTAAATAATTCACTTTCTGACCATTTATTCACAAATAATTGTTATTGTGTAGCATTATATCAGCCAACTCCATTAGTCATAGAAATGCTGCAGCTTCACAATTTTTTACAACAACAAAATGGCAATGTGTGAATAAAAAAAAAAGGCAAAAGTGGATAAACCTTTCTTTCCTCATTTCTAAACTCAGTGACTCACATCGTCTGTGGCTGTGCAAGTACTGCCTGAGATTCCACTTTTTCCACTTATAATCTCTTTCTGCCTGATTTAAAGTCTGTTCAGCTCACTGTGTGGAACTTATTGGATTTAAATGTAAAGTAACATAAGGCCAGAACTATCAGTGACACTAATAAGTCCTTGTGCAGTACCTGACAGAGAAAATTGTATTTAATATTCAGTCATGATAAGTCGTATCACGGCTACTTAATGAGATCCAACCATCCAAAGATCTCTGCCAACCACCATCCAACTCACACCTGTCTGTCTCAGACGTCTGAAATAAGCTTCAAAACTAGAAAACAATATGCATAAGGTCAACTGCATAAGGAAAACTGCATAAGGTCAAGTACGCATTGTACATTGGAAGCTAATGGAAACTACAGAAAGAGCAGGCTGGGGTTAAAGGAATATCTGGGGGCACACAAGCAGAGAGACAGACACACTGAAGGGATTTAAGGCTTAAGAAACTGAAGTGCGCTGAATTAAAAAAAATTGCCATTGAGCAGCAAATCACCCAAAGCTTTATACTCTCCAACCGCACGGATGCAGCTAAAAATAAACCCAGCGGGTTGCCTGGTCGAGAATTACATAATGAACGGAGCACAAAGAATTCATCTGGGGTCGGGTGAAAAGGAAAGAAGAATACTAATCAGAAGTTTCATTTTGCCATCTTGCAAGTGAAAACAAGCCGTCAGCCAGCACCAATTATCGCTCACAAATAACACACACATTGTTGTGACGTTCTGGGACACACACAAAGGAGGATATTTAATTGAGGATTAACCCACTGGAGGTAAATCTGCTTCTACCAGCCACTATGGTGGTGCCACTGCCAAAACTTTGTGCCACGAGCGTTTACATCGATGAAACATGAGACCTTCAGCTCTGAGCAGCACAAAGCCTACCAAAGGTTTTCTGAGAAACAAGTAGCTGTGAGATTTATTTGTTATCATCAACAGCTGAGTATGCTTATCTACTCACATACCAGAGGGACATGAGAGGCATCAAAGGCAGAGCAGCCTAAAGCAAAGCAGTGGGTCAAATTTAGACCTCCAAAAATGTTTTCCTCACTATCCCATACATTCCAGAAAGTCTTCTGTCGCCAGAATGTATTTTAAGTTTGATTTGTGTGGGGGAGGGGAACCTGCTGTCTGTCTCTGGTATTGGAGTGATGTGTTCATCCGTCTTTGTCACAGTGATGGTGGGGTCAGCAGAACCAGCATCCTATCGCTGGGGTTTTTTTCTGGGGGTCTTGCTCTAAAAAGGTCATATCTGTCACATATACAACCCGAGGCCAATGAAGGCCATACACATATAGCAAGAAACAGCTCTTTTAATTAGCATCAGTATGCTATGCCATGATTTTCCATGTTGTCCCTTTATGTCAGGGGTGTCCCACCAAAGACTCCAATCTGACCCACTGAGCGAGTTTGGAAAATGTAAAGACTTTTAATAATTTACTCATAAGTTTTACATCACAATAAAGACTGTAAAAAAAGTAATAGATAAACAATAAATGACATTCCTGTTTTTTTACTCTGTGGGTGCAAGTAAAAAAATGGAAAAAAAGAAGAAGAAATACTCTGTCATTAAAATACACTTTCCAATTTACAATTACAGGACATTCATATCTTCATTTTACATATTTATTTCTTACACTTTAAGCTCTAAGAGTCTAAATCACAGCTATTAAATGTGTAGTTAGACTTCTTTTCACTGACAGAAAGGGGAGTTTCACTTATCCAGCCCACTTATGGCCAAAGTATGCGGCCCATGAAGTAAAATGAGTTTGACATCCTTGCTTTTGTACAGTGTTAGTATAGTGTATTTAAGTGCCTCTTGATGGGTTTGTGCTTCTCCCGTTTAGTTTTGTTTGATTCTCTTGAATATCCACCTTCTGCCTCCATGTCCCTGATATGAGGTCTATTTCTGTTTAGCTGTCCAAGAGATGTTCCAGTGACTGTGAGAGTTTTTGTCTATCTGTCATGGCCCAGAGTCTGACTCCGTGTTTATGTTTAAATTTATTAATATTCTGGTTTTGTTTATTTTGAGTTGTTCGCAATTATCCCTAGTATTTTGTGTCCTCTGTGCTCTCCTGTTCCACATTTCAAGTTCCTTTGTTCTGTCTCCCCAGTCTGTGTTAAGTTTGCGTGTTCAGAGTTTTGTCTGTGTTTCCTGTTTTATTTTGAAAGTCCGTTTCTCTTGTCAGTGTTTCTAGTTTCGCTTCCCCTTGTGTCATTACATCCAATTAATCCCAGCCGTGTCTCCCTCCTATCTCCCATTCCCTGATTGCCCTGATTGTGTATTGGTTTGTCTGTGTAACTCCCTGTGTTTTCCTGTATGGTTTTCCTGAGTCTCCCTGCAGTGCCATTTCAGGTCAGTTGCTATTAGTTTTCTCCAGTTTAGGTTATCCTCAGGTTCTGTCTAGTTCACCTCCCTAATAAAACTCACTGACATCTGAAAGCTGCCTGCACTTTGGGTTATTCATTAAATTCCACACGGCTTGCCCTGCTAGCTGTGACACCATCATGTGTAAGAGGTAATCTTGGGACACTGGGCATATTATAAAATGACTGG